GCAGGTGGGACAGGTTTGGGATCTTTTTCCTATGCAAATCTGGCTGATTACAGTTTTCCTCCTTTGGCCTCTCCCTTGGGGAGTAGCAGCCAGGGAGCGGAGTGCGGGAACACCCAGGTGGTTGAGCCTTTCCCTTCCCGCTTTGTCTGCCTGCACAGGCAAGGTGCTCGTTTCCCAGCGGAGGTCACCAGCTCTGGGAGGCTCCTTTGCAACCTGGCTGCTTTGGAAACCTGCTCTTGCAGCAGCTTGTGCCTAGCTGGGCTGCTGYGGGGGGGAGCTCCGGAATGGGAAGGGGATGCGGAGTTTTGTAGCTGCTGCTTATATTGGATGTGGTAAGTTTGCAGCACAGAGCATGCAACAGTAGCTGCTGGAGATGAGCTTGCTTATTTGGGCAGAGGAGAGATACCTGAAGATCTAATGTGACCTTTTACTGCAGAATTCCAGCKTTATGGTTGTCAGAAATCGGCCCGTACACTTTGAGCTGTAACACCAAGATGCCAGTGTGAAAATGACTTCTGTGAAGATTCAAGTCGCATTTTTACACAAAAACAATTAGTTTGGTCTCTCATTTCTTTCCTTGGAGCATKCTGGCTTTGGGCATGTTAAGATACGGTTTTCTGAGTTGCAATTTCAACTTTCTGCTTCTCTTCCAGAGCTGCTTTGTGCACCATGTAAGCTTAGGGAGTGCATTTACGTTGATGCAGGTTAGCTCTTTTGTACACACACAGTTGTATTGCGGCTCACTTAAGGGACTTAAAGGCTGCTGTCTTGCAACCCCCAGGGGTGTTTCTCCTGTTCCGGTGTCCCAGGAATCAGGTGAGCATGTTCCTTTGGAGCGCTGGGTCTTTTTTTGTTGGACAGATGCTTCTGTTTTCAAGGGATGCCTTCCTTTTGCTATGAAAGTTGCTTGTTCGTGGGCGAACAGAAAGACTCTGAAAAGGCAGATGGAGGTGCCTTCATTATTTTAAAAATCTAGAGAGTTTGGAAGTTCTTCCCTAACGTGAAAATTTAACGAGCATTTGAAGCAATTCCTCCTTGTGCTTTAAACGGTCCAACTAAATTTTGCAGACAGAAATGAATCCCAGGTTCTAGTTCTGACAGATAASCAAAGTGCTGAGCAACTCTCACATGTGACATGTGCTGCCCTGCACCAGCCCCTCTCAAAGGCAGGAGCAGGACTTTCCTCTTCCTCTCCTATTGCCCTCTGCTTAACTTTTTCTTCCTTCTTTAAAGGAGTATCTGCTTTTGATGCTCTTCCTCAGAAGTGAGAGGACGGAGGAATGGAGAAAACTCTTGTAGTCGTCTTTGGGAGTCCGTTCAAGTTGCTAGAGCGGGGTGCAGGGAATAGCAGCTTCTTCTGCACTTCTTAGGAAGGATAACTCATCCTTGCCGCAGTCTGGGAGTTCCTGCATGCAGCTGCTCCATTTCTGCAGGGTGGCCACCACTCTTCTCACTCCTTGCAGATCAAAACAGATCTGCAAAATCTGCAAGGAATCACTCAGTACAGAGTGACTCCTTTCACTTCTGTACAGCCGCTCATGTAAAAGGCTTACATAGTCAAGTAACAAGTTTAAAACTGAGAGAAAAACAAAGTTATAGTGCTTAAACTTCTGTGGGGGAGCATTCCTATCTGACCCTTTTTTTTAATGCATCCCATGCACGTGGTTAGATTTCCACAGCAAGATCTAAGCACCGTGGAGAGACTAGTGTGTTTTGGTAGCTGTCAGTCTAACTCTGCTGCTAATTTGAGACTGAAATTAGAAAACTTCTAAGCTAAACCTTTCAAAGGGCGCAGTCATATGCTGTTTTTACGTACAGTTAAGTCTATACAATAGTGTCAACAGCAACACTAGCATTAGACACATAATTATAGTTYAGCAGGCAAGCTGAGACAAACTGCTTTAAGCTTAGCAGTGCTGATAAGCACTTGTAGACTCAAATGCAGTTTATATTGGCTGTTAAGCACTCCAGCTGACAGAATATTAAGTATATAATGGTTAAATGACAACTGTTTAGGATTAAATGTGTAACTGGACTGACGCCTTCCATTTGTAACTGCAGTTGGGTGCAGTTGTCAGGAATTAAACATACTTGTGGTTTTGCTACCAGCTCTTCCCCATTCAGGAATGATATATGGTAATACCRTTGCTGACCATTCATCAAGTGGGAAACAGATGGCACTAGTTTCCCTGCTGTTGAAAGGCGGCTTCTGTGAGAATGGCAGCAATGATGCAAGACAAAATATTTTCAGATTATACACGTCTGATGCCAGGCCTTGTGGAAGCACGAATTGTAAAACATGCGTCTTGCTCTCCTATGGTRTAAATACCAGCTGGGGATAGAGATCATCTCGTCAGCATTCGGCTCTCTGAGATTGCATTGGAAAGTAAATCAAACTGTTCTTGCTGCTTAAGGTTTGCCTTGCTGATGAGCCTAGTTAGTCCTTGATTTTTCTGAAGAAAAGGACCAGACCACAGACTTAACACTGAGTGATCATAAGCAAACTTGAGTAATCATAAACAAAAGCTACAATAACTGTTAGGTGGCAGGCAATTCCCGCGTGGATGTGCAGTTGGATCTCCAAAGGCTTGTTAAATGCAGTACCCCCAAGAGAGCCTGGTCTTTTGAAGAGGCACACTGGGTGCTAAGAGGGAAAACGCGCCCTACGTATCTGCCTAGACACTTCACAGGCCAGAGGCAAATGTGATGAGGCAGTGCGGGAAGGTTCTTTGGTTAAGATGTTCAGGATTTGGTTAAGGTCCTCAAGCTGTGAAAAGATAYGTGAGCAGAAGGTGTCTTGCACTGCTTCGTGCTAGACTGAAATGCATGTTCAGGTGCATATGGGTTCCTTAAAGGGTTTTGTGCAAGAGTATTGACCTACAATGTTATGTAATGTTTTCAGTACTTTGTTTTTCTTGGGGCCCTGTGAGCCCTGTGCTTTTGCTTTGCAGTGCTGCCTTGTTCTGGTGTTTGGAGGGGAGAAAGGGCTGGTGGTGGGGGTATTTTTGGCTTTGTGTGGAGGGCTATAACTAGGCCAGGGCAGCATATTAGCCTTGGTCCYGCAGAGATGTACAGCATCTTCCCCTACGTGAAATCTGTAGTAGTAAGCAACGTGCTGCTTATGGCTGCTTTATGGAAGCATATTCTCAATTTCACCTCAGTTTAAGTTCCAAATTATTTTACTATTGTGATGATGTGACAGGGCTCAATGTTACATATCAAAGACTTCACATTATCGTAGACTTCAAATTAGTGTCCTCTGTCCATCTGGTGGAGATCAGAACTTTGGCCCTTGCCCTCCTGCTGGTGAAGGATGGGGGGGCAAGACTCCTATGGCTCAAACCTTCACCATGTGCCCAAGGTCCCTTGGCAATCTCTTGTTGTGCTGAGAGGTGATGAAGAGTTCCTGCTCTCCAGACCTGACACCATCTCCATCATTTGCTGAGCTTCTGAAAATCCCGCCTGAGCTGAACTAAATCTTATGATGTTGTGTGTGTTTTTGTGGAGAAAAGAAGTGGGTAGTGGTGGTGGTGATTTTTTTGTCTTTTTTTCCCTAGTTTGTGCAAGAATGACTTGGCTTTAGGGGAAGGGAGGAAATCTTGAGCTACTTGCATGGCTCTGGCTGCTAGTTTTTTAGAAACAGAATTTCTCAGGGGTGAAAAACCTGTTCCTGCGGAGCTGCAGGCTGGCACAGATCCCCAGCAGCAGAGGTGGCTGTTCATTCCCTGCAGTGGGGTGTTTAAGTAAACCTTGTAACACTGCTTAAAAGACAAGAACCCATCTTGGAACGCTCCCTGCATCTGTTATGACATAAAAGCTAAAAGTTCTGCCCGGCCTGTAAAAACTTGCCTCGTGTCCCGGCCCGGAGCCAGGAAAGCGCCCGCTTTGCTCCCTGTGGAAGTGCTCTGGGAGGAGCGGGAGAGGGGGATGTCTGAGAGCGCAGGGTTAGCTGGTGTAGGGCGAATGGGTGGGTAAGGAAGGATGACTGGACTCGCTGGTCTGCGTGGTGCCYTCAGGGCTGCGTGGTTGGCCGGGGCTGGCGGCGAGCTGGGTGCCTGCTGGGCTGTGCTGTGCCCCGGGCTGCTGCCGCTGCTCGCCCAGCCCGTGTGCGGCCTCCTCGCGGCGTTTCCTTCCCGGGAGAGCAGGGCGAGAGCCGGGGCGGAGCCTGTGCCCACACGGCGCAACATGGCACAACACAACGTGGTGGAGATGTGGGGATGTGGCTGGGGTGCTCCCCGGTTTGACAGGCTGCTGAGGAGCGCTCCTGGGTCCCACGGAGCCCCTGGGGAGCGCTCCTGGGTCCCACGGAGCCCCTGGGGAGATGAGGAGCGCTCCTGGGTCCCACGGAGCCCCTGGGGAGATGGGGAGCGCTCCTGGGTCCCACGGAGCCCCTGGGGAGATGGGGAGCGCTCCTGGGTCCCACGGAGCCCCTGGGGAGATGGGGAGCGCTCCTGGGTCCCACAGAGTGGGGCGGAGCTCCAGCCTGAGCAGCTCTTCAGGCTATGGGGCCCGGACTGTGATGCCTCTAAAAGTCAGGAAGCTTCCCACAGTGACAGCGTGGGGCTGGAGATCCACCCGGCGTTGAGGTATCAGCTCCGTATCCTGGGGCTCAGGCAGATTCCTACAGCCTGTCCTGCCTCCTGCTTGGCCGCAGGTGTGTGACTGTCGTTAGCCAAGGCTGCTGCCTCTGGATTGCCCTGCTGTGAATGTCCCCTGGGAGTTGATGGGTGCAGTAAATGACCTTGTCATCGGTCCTGCTTGATATTCCAGCTGTTACATTATTATTGTTCTTTTTTKTGTGTRTGTTTAAATAAGAAAAAGTCTATTTTAGGTGCATTTGTTCTTGTAAAGCAAGGCATAATAGAACTAAGAGCTCCTCTAGCAGTTTCCAATCGTGAATTATAAACTACTCTTGGAATGCCTRGCGAATTGCACAGGTTTTTCTTTCGCTATCTGAAAGTGATAAGTGATGCCAGTTCTTGCTTGTTTTCATAGGCTACAGCAGGGAGGAAAAGATGTTTGGCTTCCACAAGCCCAAGATGTACCGGAGTATAGAGGGCTGCTGTATTTGCAGAGCAAAGTCTTCCAGTTCCCGCTTCACCGACAGCAAGCGCTACGAGAAGGATTTCCAGAATTGTTTTGGGTAAGATCCTCTGGAGTCCAAGCTGTGGTCAACCATAGCCATCTCCGAGCTCTGCACCTGAGACTGGCCTGGATGGGTGAAATTCAGTGGGTTATATTTAGCAATTCAAGGGGATTTTATGCAAAGCTGTTAGTTTCTTCAGGTATTGGGGCCTTTGCTTGAAAAGGAGATACCAATATATGATAATTTCTGATAGCAAACACATTGTGGTAGAAAGCAAGTGCTATGTTGCTACCTTTCCAATGGTAGGTAATGTTGCAATAGTGCTACTTGAAAGCATTTTTAAGCTAATCTCTTTATTATAATAATATAAATTATTTCTTGCACCAGCTACTACCATCTCTTAGCTTTCTGGAGCTACTTTCTGAGAACTTAGAAATTATATCTAAATTTGTCATGAATTTTTCAAGAAAGTAAATTCCTGTGTAATGGCTTAAATTTTTTTTATCTGTGTTTATTTTTGAAATTTGTCTCAGGTAATTTCTCCTATTTATGTTGTGGATTTCCACTCAAGTGTTTTCCCTAGGAACCTGTCAAAGCTGTCATTCTTATGCTGCTTTATATCCTAATGTTACTCTCATGAGAATCTCCTAGCCAGTTGGAACTTACATTCATCGTATTTAAAATATATGTGCATGTAGGTACTGCTGCTGACTCAAGTGCTTGACTTCATATATGTTAAATTTTGCAGTGTTTGTAAATCTCTTCCTTATTTCTCTCTCCTTTTATCTTGCAATATTACTTTCATGTATGGTTTTATAGTCTTTTGTTTTTATTAACCATGTGGGGTTTTTGTGCATAAATCTGGTGCTGATGACTTTTCCCTGGCATGTTTTCTTGGCTGCTCTCCTTGGCAGTAGAAAGACTCTGTAAAGGCCCATTGCCTTTTTGTGTAAACTACAATACAGAAGCTTGCACTATACCAGGGCTTTTGGTTTTGTGCTATCTGAAATATGCTTGCCAAGGTAAAAATGCAGTYTTAGCACTGAGCAAACACTGACTTATCTGAGCCTGTCCCTTTTGTCTACAGATGCTCCAAAGTCCTCCCACTTAAATGGCTGAAAAATCCTGCAGTATTTATGACTCTTTTAATGAGGGTTAGCTATAGGAATCAGTTCTGTAGGAAGTTTATTAGGGAACGAGAACTRCTGTCATTCTGGAGGCTGCTGTTGCTAAACTTTTAAACTTTTATCCTACACATGYGCAGGAGGGTGTTGGGTGGTGGTTGTTACTCATCCCTGAAGCTCTGTGCRAGAAGGTGAAGAGCTCAAAAACTTTTGTCAGATCTCCAAGGTTTGTTCTCAAATGTGCTTTCAAGGAATATGGTTATTCCTCCTCCTTCCTCAGTCAAACCAACCAACTCRCTAGGCCTATGGCTTCAAAAAATAGCTGGAGGGATGGAGCTGTTTTTTTAGTGTCCTTCTGTAGGCACTCTTGACTCYCTTGAACTTGGTAAAAAAGTGTTTTCTGAAAATGAGCATTCATTATTTAGGTGGCACTGTTGGAGCAGCCTGGATGGTCATGTCTGGGAGAAAAGGACTTCAACTTCTCTCCCCTCTTCAACCCTTCAGTTTTTGTTACTTGCTTTGTTAAGGAACTAACTGTTAACYAATATAGATAAATATTTTGCTCTTTCTTTTTTTTTTTTCTCCAGGCTCCATGAGGCCCGCTCAGGAGATATTTGCAATGCGTGTGTCCTTTTGGTGAAAAGATGGAAAAAACTGCCAGCAGGATCCAAAAAGAACTGGAATCATGTTAGTTGGCTATTCACTTGTTCATCCCCTGTCCCTGAAGTAACTTGTTTTCTGTGGCCCAGTCCATTCCCCTAGAGAAGGGGAGCAGTAGGATAGTTTTGGGGTTTGCTGTTCACCCCTTGACACACACAGAGCATCCCTAAAATCTGCCCAGGATATTTTCTGTTACCTGGCTCTTACCACCTGTCTTCATCTGCCTTATATGCAGCTTGGATGGAGTCACAGACTTATCTTGTAATTCCCTGTTTTCACAAGCTCATAATTTTGTGCAGAAGTCTCTTATGACACTCGAACATACCAGATTTGGCCTCTGTCCAAAAATTGTTGTTTAAAAAGGTTGTTCTCCCTTTTTCCTTTTTTTAATAGCTTGAACAAGCGAGGTGACTTGCTCAAGCAGCATATAAATCAAATTGTTTTAGTCAGATAATTAAAATGACTAAYAACTCACAGCCATCTCCACTCGTATTTTGTATTGATATATCTAATTCATTTGGGGCCTGAGGCTGGGATGACAGTCAGGGTTTTTGGGTATGTTACACTCTTGAGATCTTGATGATAACAGGAGCCAGCGCTACGGTCATTACTAGCTCTAGCCTTTTTCAAAGTTGAAATTCATGTTGTTTTGTGAGGGGAGGGTTGCAGGAATTGCTGGATGGATGTTTTGATCCATGTCTGTGTTGTCTTGAACAATGGTTGTCCACTAAAGTGAGTCCGTCAGACTTGGGAGAAGGCAGAAGTTTAACTGAATGTGCCTTTAAAACTAGTTTTCTTTCTCYTCCTGTAGAGTCAGCCTCTTAAGAATCAGATTCAAATGAAACACAGTGTTAGTACCTTGGTTTAACTGATCTGAGCTTGAAGACCTTGGGCTAAATCCCTTCAAGTCTCTYGATTAGTGCAATGTGAGCATGAATCAGGAGTGTTAGATACTGATTTTCGGTGTTGTAGGTGGTAGATGCCAGAGCTGGACCCAGCCTGAAAACAACGCTGAAACCAAAGAAAATGAAAACTCTCTCTGGAAGTAGAATAAAGAGCAATCAAATCAGCAAACTGCAAAAGGAATTCAAGCGGCACAGTAAGTTGATCCAAAGGGATTTGGCAATGAACTTTGGCCTCCCCCTAAAATAGCTTATTGTAAATTGGCCAASTTGAATCACTGCCTAGATTCGATTGTGTCCTTGTACGTGTAGGTGCTCTCTCTTTGTGCAGCCTTTCATCCCCTGCCTGCTTGGGCAGAGGGTGGCGAAGGGGAAGAGCCGGTGATCCCGGAGCTGAGCTGTGCGGGATTGGGAAGGGCGAGGGCAGGTTGGGAAGGGCTGCCTGGGGCCCTGGTGTCCGGGGGCAGGCAGTCGTGGCGGGTGTCCCTCACCACCGCAGCCCATTCCTGGAGAGCATTGGGCAGAATCCGCACTGCAGTCGCGGCTGGAATAGTTCTGCCTGCTCTTGCTAAGGTACAAGGGGGCTTTTCAGCTCTTTCTCCTCAAGGAGGACTACACCACTGATATCACTATGAAAGACTGATTTGATACCAGTTTTCAACCTGATCTATTAAGCCTAGATTTTTTTTTTCTTTTTTCTCTTTTTTTCCGCTTCCATTTCTTAATGTGTTTCCTCTGTAACAGTTTCTTCACACTTTTCTTGCCAGTGTTGGTGATTTCTTCCCACTAACACTTTTCAGATAGACTTGGACTCATAGTGTCCCAGCAAAGCCACTTGCCAGTCGTGCTCTAAATGTGTTAATAGTTTCCTCTAGAGCCCAGCCTTCCAGCTTCCAACTGCTGCTTAGTCCTCTCTTTCAACTGACCTACCTGTCCTGAAGGAAATGAATAAGAAGCAGATCCCACAAAACTAAGGGCTKCTTTATTGTTAGAAAGCATTTGCAGTACTGAACACAGACTCGCTTAAGAAAACTTGCAGATGCCCTGACCAGGAGAGCTTGTATCTCTTCATCCTGCATGCTGTAGCGAATCCTCTGTGATTGGGTCACCCTAAGTGCTAGGGCTAACAGCTAGAAGGTAGGCTGGCAGCCCCTGCACTGAGTTTGTCGTTCTCAGTCTTGATTCAGCAAAACTCGTGTGCTGCCTAATGCAGCGTGTGATGAGTAATCACAAATGTGAGGAGCTTTGGGAAATTTTAATGGGACAGATAGGAAAGGAGAGGGGAGTGGGTCTACAGTACCAGACAGGGTTATCTGCAGGAGTGTTGGAGCGATTTCATGGAGGGACTAGGATTTTGTCCAGTGTGTGACCTTAGGACTGGAGTCCGAATCTGAGCCGCTTCCCAGCCCTTTGGGCATGAGGATGCCCCTCGTGCTCAGGCCTGTCTGCTGAACCCTGCCACATGTGCTGCTTTCAGGGATCCCTCCAAGTTGTCRGGGGAAAGTTAAAATGATGATGGTTGTTACTACCTGCTTCCCCCCACCTTCCCTAATTGAGAGCCTTTCTCTCCAGCCCTAGTCTAAATGCAACCCTTTTCAGGGGTGAGGAGAAGGATGACTAACCTAGTCAGGTGTATGTCTTGATGGCTGCATTTGTGCTTCCCTCCCTGCAGATTCTGATGCCCACAGTACCACCTCAAGTGCCTCCCCAGCTCAGTCTCCCTGCTACAGCAACCAGTCTGATGATGGCTCTGACACAGAGATGAGTGCTGGCTCCAGCAGAACACCAGTCTTCTCCTTTTTAGATCTCACATATTGGAAAAGGTAAAATAATACGATTTTTTTGTAGCCAGCAGTCTGCTTCATTTGCACAGTGTTTGATCCCTCTTCCTCAGGAATTTGCACGGTGCCGCCCAGCTTAATTTGTGTTAGAGATGTCATTTAATCCACTGATTGTTAAACTACGTATCCACCTTTCTTTGGAAGAAGTTTGTGTTTTGGGAGTGATGGATAATATTCTTGATTGTCATCATCCTTTATCTTAAAACTGTGCTTTGCAGTTGTGTTATCAAATACCCAAGTGTCCTCAGCCTGGCAATAAAACAACGTTTGAATTGATWGACCTGTGAGGGTAGTCAAAAAAGTGAGAGGAAAACCAGAGGATTTTCAGAGAGCTGGTCGGTTGTCTTTTGCGACACATTGACACAGTGATTGCTTGTTTAGCCAATTGCTGTGTTGAAATGGTGGTGKTGGTGTATTCTCTTAACCAGTTTTTGCAAGTGTTTTACTCAAGTGTGTATGTGAAATTTCTCTGTGATGACAAATTGGAGGCATTAGTCTTACATAGGAATAGATATATTTCAACTAAATCTTGTGGATTTAGGCAGACTTGTTTTTTGAGTGGCCTTTTTCCCCCTGTCCTAACCTCCCAGAGTTAMATCAGTTGTACAGTTTTTTACCTTTCTGTAACTTCTGTATATGCTAAATGCACAAACCTCTCTGTCCCTGCTGTTTCCTCCAGGCAAAAGGTTTGCTGTGGGATTATTTACAAAGGCCGTTTTGGGGAAGTCCTCATAGACACTCATCTCTTCAAACCGTGCTGTAGCAATAAAAAGTCCGCCGCCGAGAAGCCAGAACAAGAGGGATCACAATCTCCATCAATCTCTGCCCRGGAGGAGTGGTGACTTCCTTGGAGAGCTGCAGAAGGTTATGCAGATCTTTTTCTTTTTTTTTTTTTTTTCCCCCCTCTGGAAAAATACTAGAAAGTGACTGTTCACTTTGGACACCTGCTATGCTGCCAAAAGACTTTTCCTTAGAACTGTTTTGGGTTTTTACTACTACAATTCCACAAACTCTGGAGCCAGTTTGTATCCTTTCTGAAAGACTGTACATAATATTTAAGATGCTATGGAACACTTAGCAAAGCTGAATGCTGCTGCAAGGTTGTCCCTCTAATATTTTTCYCCCTTCCACTGTCTTCACAAATGAACTTAAGGATGGGGTTTTGTATATTAAAGTTTATGTAGTTTATGTTTTTGTATTGAGAGAAGCAGTGGTTGTAAGGCATTTTTTTTATTATTTTTTAAAGTTGCTTGGTAACTTTCCTTAAATTCCCAAGAAAAATATTTCATTTAGACATATATGAGTCAATAAGATGAATTAATACATAGAAAGGTTGTAAGTCACCTCTCTAGTTAAATAAATCTTTATTTTTTTAAAGGTGTGGAGATCTCACCCTGTACTACTGACACTGTAAGAAAGGCAAATATTGCATCCCTCCTGCATGACACTGACTGGTAACTGCAGACATCCCTAGTGTAAGGAGAGTTGTCTCAGAAGGCTGCCAATGTAAAACCCTCAAGAAAGGGGCAGGAGAGCCTTAGCTAAGGAGGAGAGGAGCTGAGGAACTGAGCATAGTGAAATGGGAGGCTTTTCCTTTTAGGCAGCAGCAGGTGCCCTAGACCTCCTGTAGTAACTGACTGGTGATTAGAGGTGGACCAAGACAACAACCAGGCTAGGCCAAGTTAGGTGTTAGCCTAAGTTAGAGGGCCAAAATGAGTAACTGGTATTTGTTGGCCCGACACAGCTGAAATGTGACTGCAAAAAAGACTTCTTGCTGGTGTTGAGCCTGACAGGTTCTGTTCTAGGGATGTAACTTGGTCCTAGCTTGGGGTCTGGATTCAAAATTTCTATTTTGCAGCCTTTTCCCCCTTGCAGTGCTTCTGTGCTTACTGGATCAATAATTTTGTGAATACTGGACTTGCTGCAAATTATGAAGAATTCTGTCAAGAATGGTGCTGTACTGAATAGAGGCAGCTTTGCTTGCAAGAGATGGCATTTCCTACACACATTCCCCATCAAACTGGTGTGCAAACCGTTGTGACACTTCTTCATAGTCAACTTTGCCCTTAGGCCAAGAGCAGCTTTCCTGGAGAGTGGGCTGCAGTTCTAGTTCCCAAGTGCTTCATGTTCCTTTTATGAAAGTTTGTGTATCCTGGAAATTCTGCTTTTTTTGTTTGTGTCTGGTTTGGSTTTTTTTTCTTTACTACTCTTTGGGATACTCTGCAATGGACTGCTACAATCTTTCCTTTTTTTGTGCGAGTTGTCAGCATAATATTTTGGTGGGTAGGGCTTAGGACTGGATTTCCATGTAGTCTCACTTCCTGGAATGGGAATGGTTAGCAAATAAAAATATGGGTAGGGAAGGATGCAGGTTAAGAGGAGCCTCCACCCTCAAAGCTTTTTTTTTTTTTTTTTTTTTTTTTTTT